AAATGATCATGACATAAGTAGATATCACAAGCTTGTGGCTTTTTTGAAGCAAAAGGGTGAAGGATATCGACCGAAAAAGTCAAAAGTATTGACAAGAGAACAAATCGACAAATTTCTCGCAGAAGCCCCAGATGAAATATATCTAATGCAGAAAGTTGCTGCGATTTTTGGTGTTTTTGGAGCCTGTCGTCGAGATGAACTGTGCGATTTGACATTAAATAATATCGAGGATTCCGGAACTTCACTAGGTGTGCATATACCAGACACAAAAACTAATGTGCAACGCACCCTTGTTGTAAGTGGTACATTGTATATGAACTACTACAAAAAGTACATAGCCCTTCGTCCAGTGGATATTAATCATTCTAGAGTTTTTATAAAATGCATTAAAAATAAATGAGCCAGGACTCCAGTTGGAATCAATACATTTGGTAAGATGCCTGCCAGAATTGCCGAATTTCTTAATTTGCCTGATTCCCATCTATATACTGGACATTGTTGTCGTCGTTCCTCAGCTAGATTGTTGGCGGACTCTGGTGCTAGTCTTACTACAATTAAAATACATGGTGGATGGAATTCCAGTACAGTAGCAGAGGGTTATATAGAAGACTCGCTACAAAGGAAACAGAACATTGCAGATAAAATTTTGTCGAAAACTTCGGCAGATAATATTGCTCTCTGCCCTGGTACAAGCTTCACGAAAATAAATTCTGTCACATCTACCAATGAGACTGGCCATGGAGTATCTTATTATAATTGTAGTTTCGCTAATTGTACTTTTAATTGAATAAACACTTCATTTTGAATTATGTTTACATATTTTCTCATAAAAATAAATCACTTTTAGTACTAGTGCTAAAAGTGATTTACTTTCAACACCAGTGTCATAAACTGACATTTTAGACACTGACAGCATGCGTCAAAAATTATACTTTTACTGAAGTTTGTAGAAAAAAAAATGTATGAGCTCTTGAAGCCAAACAAAATATCCTCTACCAGAACAGAAGAAATTGCAGATGGACTTCAGACCCATAGGTTATGAGTGTGTGTTTGAGTGTAAACATTGTTGACCATAACAAATCTGATTCATCTTGAATGTTCAAGAACCATTTAATAATTTTAAACGGGTTCAATATTCGATATTTGTTGTTCCTAATGTAACTTGGAAATAGTAATTTTCCTAACAAGTGCGGAAAGTTATTCTTTCCCGCACGCGACTGCCGTTGACACGAACGACGCGAAGCGGAGTTCGGGCAAGCAGTCGAGTGCGGGAAAGGCGGGAAAGACATTTTCCGCATGAATTAGGAACAATATGTTTTCTACAAGCGTATAGGAAATTGATTGATTCATCCATCAATGGTAGTTTCAGTGCTACATATTGTTCCCAAAAAAATATATGTATCCTCCAAAATGGCGCCTGGGCGCCATTTTGGAAGATTTTTTGAAATGGATACCTCGATTGAAAGGTCTTTCGATTCTCTATACAACCTCAGAATCTCAGACGAAAATATTCATCCAAACCAAAATGGCGGATGATAACGTTTGAAATCTCACACCAGAATTCTTTCGACTAGATGGCTATTAAAGTGCTCGCATGTGATCTTCAAATCTCTATTGGCGCCCAGGCGCCATTTTGGAGGATACATATGTTTTTTTTGGAACAATATGTAGGACTGAAACTACCATTGAAGCAGGAAAGAATTGAAAATAAAAATCCCATCCGTTCTAAAGTTAACCAGGGGGGGGGGTGACTTTATGGACACAGTGTATATTCTCTATCTACTGATTATTAGTAATAGCTATTGTGAACTTACAGTTTGACGCATTATGTTGATTCATTGCGGAAGCCAGTAGTCCCATAAGGAGTTTGGTCTCTAGGTTTCAGACACTTCTATGAAATAAGCCAAAGATACCTATTCTTCATTCGGTATTTTCATTTCATTATTGTTGCACCATTCAATAAAACGCGTGTATAGCTTCTCATACCTTTCTCAAGACTTCGTTGGTAATAACGCATCTGTATCGAATCCCTATAGCTCGAAGTTTTTGATCACATTGTGGCATTTCCACTGAATCAAAAATGACACTAACGCTGTATCTGTCACTTCGACAATTTCAAACTTATTTCAGGTTTGATTGGCATGACAACAATAATCGTTTTCCATCAGATCAATCCAAATCTATATATAGGGGGATTTTTACAATAGGTAATAAATTTTTATTTCTCAATATTTCTCAATTTTCACAATGAATAGTGCAATTTGATGAAACTTTTATATTCCATCAACAACCACTTATATTATTAGCGATTTTATCATATATCTTTGTTTTCCCGCGGGAAAATGACACTTTCCAAACTAAATTGCGTGCGGGTATAGGGTGAATCACGCACGCTTGTAGAAAAAAATAATTATCGTTTCAGCATTATCTTTCGGTGGCCTATAAGGAGTGTTGAGGTCGGTGGTCACCGAATAGCTCGACTTTACCCTCGCTAAGTAAAACTCATGCGAGAATTAAGTTTTCCTCATTTTTCATTTTCCTCATACGTGCCCATCGATAGATGAGCATTTTCTGGACCTCCGCGTTATCGAGCTCAATCGCCGAGAATGCAAAAATCACGAAAGATGTGAATTTCTCAAGATGTCCAAGAAGTTTCCTAAGTGGGTTCCGAAATATAATCCGGAGACCACCGACCTCAACACTTTTTTTCTGCAATCGGCTCAAAAGTCGTCCATTTTATTTCCAAAATCAGCTCTGGGAGTTAGCGACCCTCTCATTGATACAATGAAATGATTAGTTGGTATGTTGCTAGGCAACACTTTCAGTGTTTAGGAGCTGAAGTTGAAATTTAACGCCTAGGAACTAAAAACGTGTCGGATGACAGCTGATATGATAGCTGCTTTGACATTGACATACTCAAGTGACTCGAAATAGTGGTTACTTCATTTATATGTCATTAATTAGATATCAATTGTTTCGATTGCAGAAAAAATAGCATGTCTCATTCGGATCAAAAATGACTCTGTTTGACTCGCAAAATTTTCGTGCTTGACTTCCTGGTCGCTCCGCCTCGCAAACGCAAATATCGCTTGTCAAACAAAGTGTCACATTTGATCCTGATAAAACAATGTAGTATTTTTATTACATTATGAACAAAAAATGTCGAATTGATTCTGTTCAGATAACTTAAATGCGCTAAGAAGTCATTAAACCATTAAGCTCACGCACATACACTTATAACCTATAGGTACAAAGCCCGTCTAGAATTTCATCTGCTCTGGTGTTCGGTATAGAGGTTATCTCGTCTGGCTTCAACAGCTCAAAACATTTTTTAAAGGGCATAACGGACCTTTGACCAGATTACATTTCATGTTGTCTTATTGTCTATCTTATCCTAGATTTGCACAACATTTCACCGTAGACAAGATTTCAATGTAAATGGTGCGGGATCTATTAATTGTCTGATACCATTATAGCTCTAGCAAGCGATTCCGGCATTCCACTCCACAAGGATCAATTTTGGCCCCAACATTGCTCATATACTTCATAAGAATGATCTGTTGATGGTAACCACTTGCCAAGAAAATAGTGGTGTCAAAGCAGCGGTACTATTTGTACAAAAAATTCAAGGAAAACTTGATACGGGAAATTACGTTCTAGCTATTTTCATTGATACAGTCGACTATAAGAATCTCTTAGAATACTTGGAATCGATGGAACTCAGAGGCATTGTTGAGAATCTTTCAGAATATTATCTTGCGAATAAGACAATCAGCACTAAATATAAAATGTCAGAGTCTAATAAACTTCCAATAAGTGAAGGTGTTCCACAGGGATCTGTTTTAGGGCTCATCTTGTATTCATTATATATTCAGAATATTTCTAAATTTGGATTGTCAGGTAATTATACCATATATGAAGATGATACTGTACTATTATACGAAAACAATGAATCCATATCATTCTAGAAAATATTAAGAAATTGAAAATTGCTTTATTCAAACATTTCACCAATTAATACCAATAAAACTAAATATACAATATTCCATCAGAAGAAGAAACATAAATATTAGTCTCAATCTCCAAATTATAAATAAAGTATTGAAAAGAACTACACAAATAAAGTATCTTAACAATAATATCGACAGCTTTGCAGATGATATAGTACGCTCCATATACATATACTGCGTTCTGTTTCAGAATTCCCATTTACTTCCCAGAAAACTAAGAACAGCGCTGTCAATGAAGATCTTGCTGAAACTACAGCCTTGGGAACCAACAATCTCATTGAATTCAACGCCACCAAAACTCAAACCTCTATTTTCTCTAGAAATGCATAATTGTCTGGTCCCACAAAGTCCACTATATCTATGCTCGGTATTTCCATCAGCAATATACTCTTTCATGGAAAAATCGTGTCCAATCCATAGCGAAAACTGCTTCACAAAAACTCGAATGTTAATTCCGAGCTAAAATCTACTTTACGCCTCTCATGATCTACTGAGCACAGATACGGCCTGCTGTTTCAGAATACTGTTTCCACATATGGGGTTCAGCACCCAAACATACGCTGAAGCTCTTAAATTCCATCCAGAGAAGAGCTTCATTCGCCTGATGGTGGGTGACATATACCAGCAACGTATCACAATGGGCACAATGATGTATACCTATTCAAAAAGAATCACCTTGTAGAATCTCATTCTGAAGCGCTGGCCAACAGATTCGATAGCCAATGAAACGAACAAACAAGAAGGCCTGAAGAGTAATTGAAAATCGGCTATACTTTCCTGAAGTTAAAATAATTCAAATTCGGTCGGTATACGTGAACGTCTTGGTTGTTGAGCAGTTTATATTTTGTTTTTCTATCGAGTTTCACGGAAACAGCTCATCCTCCTCGTATTTCTGTGCTCTATCCCGTCGTTCCCGGTTGGCCTTCCTTGATTTTGTGGGAGGAGATCGTCCTGGTACACGCCCCATGGGTCCTAAAGGAATTCCATCTCAATTAGTCGCTGGAACAGAAGATCTTCGCGGGATAATGAGAGTAATTATTGTGCGTGGCGAAGAACTGGAAGAATCGGAGTGGTGAGTGGGTGAAACGGAATTTGGATTCTAAAGAGCTCGCGAAAAGTTAGGTGAGTTTGTGTTTTGGTTTTCAGTACGCATTGTTTCAACCATAGAAACACGAAAAACATTGATATTGGAGTTTTTTCATCGAAAACGTTATTAAACTCGATTAATCTTCAGTGATAGGAAGATCCATCAAATTGAAAAACAAACAGAATATCAACATAGGTACTGATGTCTGTAGGTTAATCGGGGAGATGGTACAATATAATGATTCCACAATGCTTCTGTTTCCCACTGATGAAAGCGAAATCATTTCTATAATCCATGATATAAAAAAGACATGCCCTGATCCAGAAGGTTTGATTACTAAAGACATATTTGAATTGAGACACAATTTTGCTACACCAATATCAAAATTGATCAATGAATCTTTCATAAAAGAAAGTTTCCCACACGAATTGAAACATGCATCAGTAAGAGCTATTTACAAAAATGGAAATGCTCAGGATCCAACTAACTATAGACCAATAGCTTCAATAAGCATATTTTCTAAAAATTTTGAAAAAATTCCCAAGAAACGCATTGTAGAATTCATCAACAAAAAATATAGCTTTGATTCTAATCAATTTGGTTCTCAAGAAAACAGTGGAACACAAGCAGCAGTATTACAAGTGATAGAATCAATCCAGAGAGGACTTGATTCAGGAAATTATGTGGTAGCTGGTTTCATTGATCTCAAAAAGGCTTTCGACACAGTTGATCATACAACCCTTTTAGAAAACTTAGAAACAATGGGACTCGGAGGCAATGTGAGAAATATTTTGAATTCATATCTTGAAAATAGGACATTCAATACAAAATCAACCAACTCTGTGTCGAATAAACTATTAATCAATAAGGGTGTCCCACAGGGCTCTGTTTTAGGACCTATACTATATTTACTTTATGTTCAAAATATCAGTGAAATTGGTATCACGAGTAAATATACCATGTATGCAGATGATACATAGTACTTTTATATGAATGCAAGAATCCTTCAAATATGATAAATGAATAGGACTTGAAAATATTTGAAAAATGGCTCCACTCTTACCTTTCATCGATAAATACTAACAAAACAGAATATATGATTTTTCAGCAAAAAAATAACCAAAAAATTTACCCCAACCTCAAAATAAAAAATGAACTCTTGAAACAAACTGACCAGATAAAATATCTTGGTATTTGGTTTGATGACAGGTTGAAGTGGGACAAACATATTGATGTTTTGACAAAAAATATATCTCTAATTATTGGTGCATTGAGAAGATGTCCCAAACTTGATATTAAAATTGCAAACATGATTCTCTACTGTCATATACTGAGTCGTATCAACTATTCAATTAATGTTTGGGGATCTTGGAATATATAGAATTGAAACTCTTGAAATATCATATAATATCATAAATAAAAAATTGAAGTCGAATTTTATTTTGATACGGAATTCTGAAATTCATAATCATGAAACTAGACAATATAACTTGTTTCATATTGACGCCGCTAGCTCCATAATCGGACAAAAAAGATTCACTCATTCAGCCTCAACTGAATTCAATAAAGTACCTGACAATATAAAAAATTGCAGAAATATAGGTACATTCAAAAATGAAGTGAAAAAACTGATTATTTCTGAACGAACTGGATAAAATAGATAGATAGAAAACTAAGAGATATTTGACTAGAAACATAAAATATTGAATCAGTTAGAGTAAGTGTTCAAAATGTCCTATATACGTTTCGAGGAATACACGATTCTATATTCTTTTCTTAAGAATGTATTATTCTTTCAAACAGTTGTGGATCAGCTGTTAGGTCATTTAAGTGATGTTCCGTTATGTCTCACAACTCTTAACGTGAATTTACCTATGTAGCATAGACTTTATTCTGCTCAAGATACAACAAAACTGTGTAATCCATGTTCTTAGTCAAATCTGTTTCGATGTCATTCTTGTGATTCATTGTTAAATCGATGAGTTTAGCATAACTGAGGTATCATGAAAAAACATCAAAAACTGGTCACCCTGTACATTGGAACTTTTCTTTCTACTTATGGTCGTAGAAGGCACTGGTGAAATTTGGCAGGCTAATTCCAGGACACCCTGTATATTGTAATATTCGTTGATTTTCCTCGAATATAAATGGTTTTGAATCTTATTCGAACCTCGTTCCTCACAGATGCCAAGACCATGCCCCGCAAACGCCGCCAACCCACCCCCAACACCAGCGACTCCGACTCCGAAGACGAGTACGGCGAGCCGAGGCGACCGCAGCGCAACGCGGCCAACGAGCGCGAGCGTGCGCGCATGCGCGTGCTCAGCAAGGCCTTCTGCCGGCTGAAGACGACGCTGCCGTGGGTGCCGGCCGACACGAAGCTGTCGAAGCTGGACACACTGCGGCTGGCCACCAGCTACATAGCCCACCTGCGCTCCGTTCTGCTCGACCAGCCAGTGACGAACGATCTGTATAGGAAGCATCCACTCACCTTGGTAAGATCGACTTTCTGATACAGTGGGAATTTTCATTAAGATCGAACGTTAAGATCGAACGTTAAGATTGAACGTTAAGATCGAACGTTAAGATCGAACGTTAAGATTGAACGTTAATATCAAATGTTAAGATCGAACGTTAAGATCGAACGTTGAGATCAAATGATAAGATCAAGATTGAATGTTGACATTAAGTTTTAAGATCAAACTTTTATATCGATTATTAAGGTCAAACATAACGATCAAACAATAATATTTAACATTAAAATCGAAGATGAAGATCCAATATTAGGATCAAACGTTAATAATCAAACGCTAAGATCAACTATGAAGTTTTCCTATGGATATCTAACATGAATGGAACATTTAGTTTAGATTGAAATCTAAGTTCAACGAAGCGTTATAGAGATCAGCCACTCAATCTAACTATATGACAAATTATGAAAATCAACTATTGAGATCGCCCATTGGTATCGGATAAACGAATATAAGAATCGAATGACTGATCTGTGCAATGAATAGCCATGATGCATATTCAATAATTTGCAGTTATTTTTTTTTCTATTCTTCTTTGGAAAACAACACACTCGGATATTGACAGTGACATAAGCCTTATGAGCAGACAGTTAAAGTTTCTTCCTTTTCGTTGAATTTCAATCAAAATAATGTGGTATAATCAATGTGAGAAGTGGATAGGTACCTGAGTGTTTTGTTTTCCAAAGAATACTTGGAAGGAATAAAATACCTGCAAAATATTTTGCATCATGGCTATCAATGACACACTTGACAAATGTGAAAGAATGAATATCCAGTATTTTCCTTAGTAATATTAAATGCATGTTCTTATTTTCAATCCGATCGCAAATGAATTAGTATTGTTATTGTTAGATTTGTCGAAAAAATCCTTCTTTCGGCAACCGTCCGTGAAGTGATCACTTCCCGAACGCTTTTTCGTTGAGAAGTAGCATTTTTCCGACCGGGAAGTATCACATCGTTGTTGTCACTGTAACTATGAAAATCTTGGTAGATATGGTTTTGATAAATGCAGATGATAATTACAGAGATGTATAGAAATTTAACTGGTGCGCTTGCTACCTATTGAAGGTCGTTTGCAAGTTTCTCGATGGCGCCTACTCTGATAAACCTTTGATAAACATACTTGACGTGGGTAAATCTCAAAAATCTCGCTGAGCTCATCCTGGTTACAATCCATATTTACAGGAAACATATTACCGACCGTCCGACCGATAAATATTTGGATACGTATATGATTTGGATCAGAGCAGTGAACTGATTCCTGATCAAAGGATCGAAACAACAATATGTCAAAAATATTCTTGAGCTGAAAAAATGGTTATTTCTGAGATTGGGGTCAAGTGTTCGTTAGAGACGTGTTCCGTAGTTTCTAAATTTCGTGTATAATACCTAATGTACCATAAAAAAAAGAAAATCTCTGTTCTACAACAGTATTATTTCAGTGATTTGAAATATTAGCGTGAACTGGTGTGAATAAATTCTAAGGTGAGTACCAGTTACCATATCTGCCTATTATGATTTTCGATATTGGTCTATTTCAATAGTTGATACATTCTTTGTTCTGGTTCTTCAAAGAGGAAATTCATCAGATTTCATGCTTTATATAGGTTCCTGTCGTGGAAGAAGTGAAGCTTATTAAAATCGGCTACAAAAAAGATGTATTGCTTCTATTTCAAATTGGAATTTGAATGAAAATGTTGAGCACAGTATTTATTCGACCACAGAACAATGATGGAAATAGATTCATCCCTCACAGAGTCACAGAACCAAGGTTTTGAACGATTTTCCGAAATATCGCCTGACAGCTAGCTGACATGATATTAGTTGACATTTTGGATCTTTGAAAGTTGAAAGTTTGGTTGTAATAATCGCAATAAACTATCAAAATCAGCTGCGATAGTGGGTTTGATAATGTCCATACGAAATGTTCAATGTAACAGTTAGTAGATATAGGTGTACTGTTCAAATTTCAGTATTTGATACAAATGAAGAAATGTGTCCTATTGAATTGTCATTCTACATGGTTGCCGAAAAAATTTTGTAGGCAACAAGTCCAAAAACAGTTTTTTTGGACTCGCAGACTTCCAGGACTCGTCTACGGCTCTTTCAAGAATTTTGTCTACTCGTCCAAAAAAACAGTATTTTCTGGACTTGTTAGGTAAATTACTATTTTCGGAGATTGCTTGTCAAAAAATGGTCGCTATTTGGAAAATCATAGTTAGACACGGAAACGTAATTTTGTCAACTTGTATTCTTCCTATATATTATACTAGTCGCTGAAACTTTGCGATTATAATTTTCTGACATCACCTTAGATGAGTTTAGGTACGATCATGACCCCTAGATGCAAACTTGAAAGTGACTCTGAAACGTTGAAGTAGGCGTTAAAACATCTGAAAATGTTCCAATCAAAAATTCATAACCGGAGGTGATCGGCAAGTGAACAATATAATGCAAAAACTTTCTGAAGGCCACCTATGATGTTTTTTTTTTTCGATTCTCGACATTATTCTCGGGATCTCGTCTTTGATCTCGAGATTCCAACTCCAATCTCGGGATCTCGACTTTGATCTCGGGATCCCGACTTTAAAGTCGGACCTCCGACTTTATTCTCGGGATACCGACTTTAAAGTCGTCTCACCTGTACAGGATGTCTCTTTATATTTTGATCCCTACCTACAGCTACAACTATACGAAGTGGAGAAAACTTCAAATATAAAAGTTGTATAGGGTTTCATCTGTACAATATTTTTGCACCCTTTGAACAAGAAAATGAGAATCTTGAAATGAAAAAAGAGAGTATAATGGAACATTCATTACAAAACTTTTGTAGATGTACATAATTTTACATTCATTGGGTAACCATCACAGGATCAATCGAAAACCTCCTTTTTGTTTCTGGGTGTACACTGAATGTCAAATATTGGATCACATTTGTACGATCATTATGGTACGTACAGGGTGATTGTTTATATTTTATTCAATAGCTATAGGAATCTCGTTGTTGAATAGGTACAAGAAAATTGAGAGAATCGGAGTTGTTCATAGTCATATAGAATTTCTTGTTTAGGTATAATGTCTATATGCCTTTGACATACCAAACATACATTTCCTCAAATGGAATACCCTGAATTTCATTCCGTCCTTGGGTAGAGCTCAGAAAGATGAGTTCAATGATATATGATAACATGGGTATGAGATCACCCGTTTCGGACTTCTTCCATAATCTTCTGCAATAAATAGCCAAACTTCAAAGCCTTATATGAACGTTTGGAATCAAGCTCCCGATGCGCAGTTTTCATCAAAAATTAACAAATTCTTTATGTTATATTGATATTTCGTCAATATTTGAAAAAAATTATGTAAACCAAAAGTTATGACGTATTTTGCAAATCGATCATTTTCTCGAAATTTTCAAATGGAACGCCCAGTATTTAATTTCATCCATGGATAGAGCTAAGAAAGACTAATAATAATAATAATGTTTATTCATACTCATAAATTGTATCATATAAATTAAAAAATAGTGTTTTTTGAATAAACGGAGGTGGATCACAGAAGTAGTTTTGACTACTTGTGTATGTGATTTCCATAGTAGAATTAAAATTAAAAATTGGAAAGAATCGTTATAAATTGGTGAACAATAATCTGTGAAAGTTGGTAAAAAATCTTGAAACATCGATAAATGGGTAGACATTAGGGGGTTTTGACACATCCAGGTAAATTATTACATTCTAAGTAAAAGGGGTGAATAGTCTCATCTTTGAAATAACACAGTCTCAGTCGGGTAATTTTTTTTTACATATACACTAAAATATATAATAATTTGCTCTACTACTTTAGTGAGTTGATCTCTGGTTAACAATATTAGTGAATATAAGCCTATCTTTGAGAATCCATTTTTTCAGTTTTTTTTTAACATTTGGTAGTTTTGTATATTTTTCAAGTCGTGTGTTGACGAAGCATGAATTCTGGGTGCTAAATAATTCGTATTACGTTTTCCAATAGTTTTTCCGCAACGTGGGAATAAAACTTCATCCGTCTATCGAGTGTTATAGGAGTGTTTCTGTAGAGTGAGTTCAATTTTTCCTAGTTTTATGAATAGAATAATTTTTTGACAAAAAATCTGTCTTACATCTTCTATTTGAAATTCTTTGTATAAGGAATCTGTGGGAAAAGATGCCTTTTTACCGTATATTATTTTCAAAATCCATTTTTGTAACACATGTACATCATTCAAGAAACAGTCATTTACGCCTCCCCAACCTAATATTCCATATGACAGGATAGACTCTATTAGAGAAAAATAAAGTGTTTTTAAATATTTTATGTCTAGGAAATCTCTCAGGTATTTGAATTTCGATAAATATCGAAGTTTTCTGATAGTTTCTTTGGTCTGTAGGTACCACCTCATATGGCGATCTATCATTATACCGAGATATTTAGTTTTTTCAGCTTCTAAGAACACCCGTTTCGGACTTATCCATTAACTTGAATAAGAGAAAATTGAAAATAATATGATAGAGTTATGGATAGTATAGTGATTTAGCATGCATTAGGATCAACAAGTGAACCATGAATATGACAGACATTGACTGCGCAGTTAGTGCACCTTTCACGGTTAGGTATAACAAACCTAGTGTCTTCCATTTTAATGTCGGGATTCGACTTTGAAGTCGGGATCCCGAGAATAAAGTCGGGATTCAAGAAAAATAGGATAGGTGGTCCTTCAGCGCCTTCGTATCTTCACATACCATATACCCATTATAAATTTCATTATGATAGACCCAATATTCTGAGTTATCGCTTGTCTAATAGATGGCATACGGATGGAATAGTGGTGCCCGCGAGAGTCTCGTTTTCGAGAGTCTCGCATGGTCTCGTCTCGTTTTCGAGACAAGACTCGGACAAGACGAGACGAGACTTTTATTGGTCTCGTCTCGTATCTCGTGCGAGAGTCTCGC